ACAGATAGTTCGTAGACAGAAAACGAATAACGAGGAACAAAAAANAAAAAAAAAAAACAGAGGAAGGTGTCTATCACGTCTAAGAAAGAGGTCATTGGCCTTTTAGAATTTTGAAGCCTTAAATAGATTTTTTGGTTGGTGCAAAAGGATGATTATATTACCTTCTAACTACACCTCTTCCTGTCGCCAGTTTCCTTTTTTTCACAGATGTTCGTGGCACAAATACGCAAAGAAAACGAATTCAATTGACCCTAAAAACAGCGGGAGGTGTCCATATCACAGGCGTACATGCCTTTGATAAAAAAAAGGTCATCCACCTCTGAGAATTTCCTGTCAGAAACAGCGGGTTTTGGCAAGGACCTTTTGATAGATTTTCTGTCGGTGCAAATGATAATTAAATTACCTTCTAACTACACCTCTTCCTGTCGCCACTTTCTTTTTCTTCACAGATGTTCGCGGCACAAAAAAAACGGACCGAGGGACTAAAAAACAGCGGAAGAGGTAGGCGTACATTTAACCTTTCATCAAGGAGATCCTTGCTTTCATAAAGAAGTCCTTTCCCTCAGAATTTTCTGTCAGAAACGTTGTGAGTTTTAGTAGGTGAAAATCAATGCTCAAATCAAGTTCGACTCTTAAAGAGATTATTCTTCTTGCATCTTGAACACGACGTTATGAAATCGCCAGGACGGCGCCAAGTTACGCAACAGGTCGGCCTTTTGAAGTGTCAATCAAACTTGCTAGTCTATATTCACCCGTCAGACCGTACGCTCCCCATTGGTCAATGATGAATGGGTGTGATTAGTGAGATATTGGAAAGCCTATAGCCATCTATCTCATCTATTCATCCATTTAGTTCCAAACAATCTCTTCTCACAGAATTCGAAAAGTGTGATAACTACATTGACAGTTGGTAAGAGCTTATCGCATTATTTTACAGGTTATCTTTCATACGTGTCAAAAGAATTGCACAGCGGCCTTTGGCTGAATAAGAGCACCCTTGTCTGTTGTCTATTCCTTTGACTGAACCAACACATCAATGTTTCAAAAATGATAAACGAAATGGTTATGGGAATCAGTTTTTTTTATATTCCAACATGTACATGTAATCACAAGACGTGGTGACGGCACACTCAAGTTTTTTTCCAACTTATATTAATGCCGCCACTAACACAGGGGACAATACAATACTTATTTTCACCTGAATTAAGTGAGGAAAGTCGTGTTAAGTGCCTTTCCCAAGGGCACAAGATCGGTGGCATGTCAGGACTCGAACCCGGGACCTCTTGGTTCCGAGCCGAGTACGCTGCCGCTACGCCACACGACCCCACAAATTCGTTTGAAACGGATTGCAGCAACTTCAACACCGAAATACAAACTTACGGTTCATTCGTGGCCAAATGCCAGCTACTAAAACATGCCTAATGTGTCTACATTTCTTGGAATCATTTAGGTCCCCTCTGACTTTAGACTCCCTTTGATTAGTAATATCATCATTACTAGCGAAAGTCGCCAGGTCTCCTGTCTGCCAGTGTTAACATGCCAAATTGCTGATGGCTGGTGGGAATCAGACACACTGACTTCTTGAATATATGTTGATTGCTCGTATTCTCATTTACGTGTATATATATGTGTGCTGATTTCAGGCGTAGGCTTTGAAATAGGCCTTCAACTTTCAATGCGTTGTCACGGTTTCTATTAGCACACAGTTGGTGCAACATGTTTGAAGAATACTGCCTGGAGATGGTCTGTACAATAACGCCATCTAGTAACCAGCAGTTGAAGTGCATGTAATCGAGACTGGCTTGGTGGGCTATGAAAAACTCATCAATTGACATTGACCAACGAATGAAACGCTTTGTATCTAAGGGATAAGAAATCAGACCAACAAAACAGGAAATATCGGCACCAAACAGTTTTATTATTAGGTGCTACACTCAGTGACTGACCCTTTCCAAAACATCTTTCGTCTTCGAATTTAATTTCTATCAACTTTGTTATCAAACCAGAGACAAATCGTTCAAGTCAGACTTGTTTTTTTAAATCATAATTGACATGTAATAACAGACCAAAACCGATCCAAATCTGAACTCATTTCCTTTAACAAATATTTCCATTATCAAATGAAGTACATACATATGTCTAGATATATTACCATTTATGTAATTGAAAAATGTAATGCAGAGTGGCACTACTCAACTATCCTTCATTCTAACAATCTAAATTAAAACGTTTTCCATTCTTCTGTACAGATTACGTGCGCTTTACATAATAGTTTATCACTAGTATAAGTTAGAGGTAGAAAAGAGTAAAGTTAGTCGCAGATTTGATGCACATTAGATAAGGGGTAAAGTTGAGGGGGAGGCTGATCATCAAGCAGATGTTAAGCGGCTGTAAGAGAAGCCTGACCACCAGAAAACGTTACAAATCTTTCACCCCAACATCTGCTTGGAGATTCGGTGGGGTAGAGTAAAGCTAGCCGCGTGTTCAAGCACATAGCTAGATGTTCTAAGTTCTTCCATCATTGCAAAGGTCCATTTTTATTCTTTTATCCCATACTATGCACCCTTGTATTAGGTAGATTAGCCTTATAGAACTGTAGTCATGTAACAGTAGTTGCCATACTTTGTACATAGTACAAATGTTGTGCAAAAAGTTCATGTTATTGTGCCATACTGAGATGGCAAAGTAGGAGTAGGGCAGTTATACACGGGGTAGAGGAGAAAACCAGTATCTGCTTGGAGATTCGGGAATAGTGGGTACACAGGTTGATACATAGGGTAAAGGTAGCCACGTATTCAAGCACATAGCTACTAGACGGTAAAAGTTGGAGTGGGGATGGGGAGGTTACATGGGGAGAGGAGAAACCCAATATCTGCTTGGAGATTCGGGGGTAGGGGTGTGAACAGGTTGATGCATAGAGTAAAATTAGCCCCGTATTCAAGCACATAGCTACTAGATGGTAAAGTTAGAGTGGGTTCAGGGTTAATACATAGGGAAGAGGAGAAACCCAATATCTGCTTGGAGTTTCGGGTATCTGCTTGGAGATTCCGGGGTAGGGGTGTGAACAGGTTGATACATAGAGTAAAATTAGCCCCGTAGTCAAGCAAATAGCTACTCATAGCTACTAGATGGTAAAAATTTGAGGTGGGGAGGGGGCGGTTACTACATGGGGAAGAGTAGGAAGCCGGTGAAGGTGGTGTGCTTGTCCACGGAGCTGGACAGGTAACTGTTGATGTCGAGCTGCAGCCACACCTCGTCCCCTTCCTTCAGCATCAGAACAACGCTGTTACTGGCCGTGTCACGGTAATCGTCGTCGTCTGACTCGTACACAGCGACCTGGAGATGGAATGAGTGAATGGTTTATTACCTTCGCCAAGAAGGTTATGTTTTCAGTAGCGTTTGCCTGTCTGTCTGTTTGTTTGTCTGTGAACAGCATAACTCAAGAAGGTATAAATGGAATCTAATGATATTTGGTGTGTGGATAGGGTGGCCCCAAGCCTGGAAATGATTAAATTTTGGGAACCCTGGCAAGCTTTCCTTAGTATATATATATAATATAAAATATGTCATTTTTATGAATATTCAACAATCCCATCGCAGTTTTATATTCAAAGTTTCCATCACAAATAAGTAAAAATGGGTAAAAAACGTAATGTCTAGATAGACGTATTTTTCGCAAACAGTATACAGATCTGTACGATTTACAGGGAAACAAAGCTTCATTCATTCCTTCCTTCCTTCATTCAGTCCTTTATTCATTCATTCATTTATCCATTCATACAGGGTCTAACTTCTCCATACCTGAGACTCTCCGTTCAGCATGAGGCGGATGAAGGCCGGTACCTCCAGGTTAGTGGCCCGGTAGGTGTGGAATGTGAAGAAGTACGCACCTGCGACAACAAAGGAGAGAACGTATGTACATATGTATATATACTGTGTATTAAGGTTGTCATGTACTATACTAACCACGGCGCAAGGCGGCGCTTCTATACTGACGCGGGTGGTTGCTAGTATCGCCAAGTCAGTTGATTTGTCAGCCAGTCAAAATTGTAGGAGGCTACCTACAAGGTCTAAGGTACGGTGTTTACTTTGCAATTGTGTTTACATTGTGCAATTGAGGCAGTCTGAAACTCCATGTCAAGAAGGTTAGGCAAAAATTTGACGTCGCTGAGGGAAAACAGTTGCATGTTTATAGTATCTTTCTAGCTATTTATTCATGGTACCAAAAATAAAAGGACTCCTCATGTAGCTTATTTCGTGCTATTTCAAACACTCTTAAACGTTTGAAATGATGACGAAACGTGCAAAGAAATGGCAGCAAATGTCAATATCAAACGGATTTCCACATCCAGAATATATTTTGTATTGCCGCCCTGAAATTGCATTGGATGCCTTTAAAATGCCCCCACACGTACCTGGTACGTAACACGTAAAAGTGCCTGAGTCCGCCTCAAAGTTCTCCCCAACGTTCGCGAAGACGTGTTGGAACGAGATCTTACTGTCCTCCTCCACCGGGCCCATGCTGATGATCCTCGCGGCGGAAAAGGCCGAGTATCCCCGAAGCTCGACTTCGGGATTGCCGAAGAACTCTTCGTACTTGTCCGGCCTCCCCGCCGAAGGGTCGTCGCTCTGTCGGCGGAAAACAGTGGCTTGTTTAATATAGGATCTTTCTCGCTATTCATTTATGGTACCAAAAAATAAACAAAAATGACTCCTCTTTTGGGGCTATTTCAAACACTTAACTGAAATGATGACGAAAATGTGTTAAGAAATGGCAGTAAATGTCAATATCAGACAGATTTCCTCATCAGGAATATTTATGTTTACTGAAGGAAAACATATTGTTTTTGCTCCGTTTCTTCTTCTTCTTCCGTTCCAAACACTGACCTCTGACCCTGTCTCTCACCATGGTAATTGGTGCATGTTGGGTTACATAATGTTGCAATTTTATAGTGAGAGGGATTTATACTCTCAGCATATATGTGAATGTATTTGAGTAAGAATTAACAGAGCAGACCATATGCGAAGTTAAACATTATGCATTTGCTTTGCAAATGTTACCTATCTAGTTTTTGTATTGCTTTCCTGAACTGAAACTGCATTGGACGCCCTTAAAACGTCCACACATACGTACCTGTGGTTGGTCGCCGACGTACTTGTACTGCAGGGGCACGCCGACTTGTATCCCGGGCACGGTGGTGGGTCCGGGCATTCCCCGGGGTCCCTGGTCACCCTGCGGGCCTACGTCACCGACGGCACCCTTGTCACCTGTAACAGGCCAATCACTGCGTTAATTCTACCCAGAAAGACAAAAGAAACTTTATTAGCATTGGCAGACTAAAAAAAACTGAATTATCGCTAATTTACATTGCAATATCAAATTTCTCGGAGAAACAAACTCTAAGAGAAAACATATTGTTTATGCTCTGTTTCGAATTCCTCTTCCTCCTATTGATCTTCATCTTCTCCAAACCGATAAGGTCAATGACCTGAACCAGACGCCTGTCACCATGGTAACTAGTGTTTGATTACATCATGTTGCAATTTTATAGTAGGAGGGATTTAGACTCCTGTCTGACCATATACTAGTATATGAATGTGTTTGAGTAAGAATTAACAGAACAGACCATTTGCGAAGGTAAACATTATGTATTTGCTTTGCAAATATTACCGTTAGTACACACCTTTGAATCCCGGTAACCCCCGTGGCCCGAGTTTCCCCGTAGTGCCCTGTGGCCCCTGGTCTCCTTGCGGGCCCTGCGGACCGGCGATGCTGCTGTCCACTCCGTCCCGACCGGCGTCACCCTTCTGTCCCTTCGGTCCCGGGACCGGCACGTTAGCGCCGGGCTGGCCGGGTGCGCCGATAGGCCCCGCTGGTCCCCTAGGCCCGGCCGGCCCGATCAGTCCGGCTTCTCCCTTGTATCCTAAGATTCAGATTTATTGAATATCTTTACTTTATTCTTTATTTCAGGCATGACTCGCCCATATAAAAACATATACAGATGAAATACAATAACAACAGTAATAATATGTCTATATGTACAGACGGGCCAAATGCAGGCCGATTGGACCCTCGATGGCCAATTATCCCTTTGTTTTGCCGATTTCTACGATTTATGCAGCCTGCAAAAGGAGTCTGGTGGAGACTAACAAAAGACTGTTCGTGCCTTTTCGTTTTACTAGATGTTGAGACAGTGGCTGGTTTATAGAGCAGGTTGTAATTACATGTACATACCTGGCGGTCCGATTGGCCCCATTGGGCCGGGCTGACCCTCGGCTCCCGTCAGGCCGATTTCGCCCTTGTCACCTTTGTGTCCAGTTGGTCCTGACTGGCCAGGCAGACCATTGTTACCGTTGTTACCTGTAAATGATGAAAAAAAAAATAAATTGCAAATGTTTAATTGCGAGAAATATAATTTTCTTTGTACAAACCAGCATAGGCTGTTCAAGCTTTGCATTCATACTATCTTCCTTTGAAACTGACAAAATGTGTGATTCTTTCAGAATGCTAGTATCATCTACTGTATGTAACATTACAAGGCTTGGCTCCGCGACTGAGGCGTCGCCAAAAATGTTCCCTTATATATTAGGTCAGTTCCGACTTATCTGAGAAAATAAATCATAAGGATCTATGCATAACTCTCTGGGGCACGTTGTTAACAAATGCTGAAGCAACAAGTAATCAAACAAACAAACAAACAAACAAACAAACAAACACATAAACGCTTGTAAAACGCAATTATTACATTGACTGGGGCAGTACTAGAATATGACATGGAACATTCTGATTACTGGAGTACAAAATGTGTATTCATCCATCTTATCTTTTTTGCCCTTAAAAGATTGATAGCGATCGTCTAGCCTTCATCCTCACCATATAAACCAAAGACTTGGCTTCACCCTTATCTTTTAATAGCAAATGGTTGAATTCAAGGACTTGTTGTTTTAGAGATAACTACTTTGAAACGCCAAAACCTTCTCTTGTTTGTGGTCGATGAAATCTCCCGAGCGCAGTACTCCGTTTTGTATCCTGAACTTTGTTTAAGTCTTGAGGTTTTGGCACAAGTCCACGGGGCGCTCTTGAAGTTGGTCTCCGATAGAAAGATTTACATCCCGTAATGCGCTTTATCACTGGGACCAGATGCTGAGTTGGGGAGTTTTTTTTACGGAGTGTTTCTGAACACAACACAGCTGCCAGCGACATGCATGTATGCATGGCTATGTTATTCTTACAGACATCCAAAGTGATTTCAGAGCAGCAAAACTGGAAATATTCTGAATAAGGCAATCTTTGTGATATTGACACATATTGCTTCACATTAGCACGTTTCAATCAATATTTCATACTTTGGGTATTTAAAACTGCAGAAACAAGCCCTAAGATGAGTCCTTTATTTTCTGGGTGGTACCCTAAAAATCAGCCTAGGGCCCTTCCAGTAACAATTTCCGTCAGAATTTTGTGTATTTTTGCTCCATGAGGGTCAATATACATTGGGATAGTGTGCTTTCAACTCAGTATGTAGATATATGGCTAGAACATTGAATTTGAAATAGCTGTTTTCGTGCCACTTCCACAGTTCTACAGAATTCAAGGACCCCCGGCCGCCCCATGTCAAAATTGACTTCGACGCGACTTACATGGTACTCATATCTTTACTGCGTCTGTCTACGTCACAAGCCAGCCTTTCTGGCCTCACGTGTTATCAAGTGCAGATAGCAGGCCGTCTCCTGTTGCCTTTTCGGCTATTTCCGCAAGCTTTGTTTTTACAGCGAGATAGTCAAAGGCTCCCAAAATCGACCATAGTATTAAGTAGATAATATAGAGGTAATACGGGGGAAAGACCAGATTCGCGCCAGCAAAAAATAGTAATTTGATTGCCATACGACCGCTATCGTAGGACAGCTTTTTCAATGTGTGTAAACAGTATACTCGTATTTTAAGGTAACTTAGTGGTAAAGACTTTGATAGTACATGTACCTGTCGCGACTGTACATTGATTGATTGCACACCCTGCAGCCTTAAGTCCCGACCTAATGCTTAGGTCACATTTCCAAACTGGGGCCCGGCCGGGCTGTTTGTATGAAGGAAAAAGTAACAAATCATATCAAGAATATACAGAAATAGTGCCCATGATTGTTATTAGGAACTTTTCTGTGTTTTGTTGTCTTTTAACTTCATATTTTTCGTTCCCAAAAGCTGCTCGGCCGGGAATTGTGACCTCAGCATTACACCGTCTGTAAACCATCACACAACACCCGGCCTGGCCGGAGAACTAATCACTTTCAATTTAGTACACAGGTTCAGCAGGGCGGATTTAAAGTATTCTGCAATCAGTTTGGACCGTAAGTCGGGACGGAAGATAAACCTGAAACGCGTAAGGAAAAAAAAAGCACAGAGAAAAAACAGCTGTTTTTTTCTGTAATTCATTCTTTTTAGTTTCCTACAATCAGGAAAAGATGCAGTATAAAGATTACATACGCTAGAGAGTTTTACATGCTTTACTAACAAAATGCTCACTCGTGATTTTCCCACGTAAAAGCCTCAAGGAGCCTGGCAACCACAGTTCTTTCTTTCTGGCGGAAAATATAGTAAAATCTCAAGGTACTCTTTCTTATGACCTTTTAAAATCCTTGGTCTTTCTACACTGGGATTTCAGATAACCTTTTGAAGACCCGAAATATCGTGACTACCAAAAGTGGACCGACGGAGCATGACTCGTCTCTACGGACACACATATTCATTATCAACCTTTATCACAAAACAAGTAATGAAAACAACTCGTATTACAAGGTCAGGGTGATCATTATACAACAGTTTTCGTTTTTCAGTTTTCAAAGATTGGTGTTAATTGGGAGAAATTCCTCAAATGTCATCCAATTAAGAGCAACAGACTCAAAAGGAAATGCCTGTCGAGGCTGGGGCAGTTCACACGCCAGGGACGCACCAGCGCGCCTGTCTGTCAAACTAGCCTCTACCAGGCTTCGGGAGGCGGCTAGAAAGAGTATAAATTGGCCAAATACAGAGAGATAACATGCCAGAGGAGTTGGTCCGCTAGAGAGCACAGTTTGCCGCAGCCTGTACTCTCCAGCGGACCAACTCCTCTTGCATGTTATCTCTCTGTATTTGGCCAATTTCTACTCTTTGCAGCCGCCTCTCGAAGCCCGGTATGTCAAACCGCCAACTCATGGCCCTGAATATAGGACTCTCATAGGAATAACCTTGATACCTTGATACGTCTCCAGGAAAGAAGGCCGTGGCCTGTTATGTCCTGATCTATAATAACGAAATGAGGATTTACGTTGCATATTCTTTAGCTTCATCTTTCGAGATGGCAGGATGCCTACTACAGGCTTTAGCTAGGTCTATAATCTCTCTACTAAAACCAGACATGCTTGGTCTCGAAAGTAGGATTTCCAAGGATTTTATTGCTGAAAATTCATCTAAAAGCGGGTTAAGCTATAGATCAGCAATGTCTTTGCCAAGTTTAGAAATAAAGAATGGTCACAAAATCTATTTACCTCTGTTAAGGTAGAAACATCTTAAGGTATCGGGTGGTCTATGCAAGATCAAACTCCTTGGTTCAACCAGGGATCTAGCGAGTATCTAATTTGCGCAGTACAGTAGTTGGGAAATCCAATTTGCAGTACATAACTAATTGCAGTTTAATTTGTTATGCGCTGCTAAGCCTCCATGCTCTCTGTTTAATTGGTTCCACTTGTGGTGTCTCCAAGCGGATGTGTGGTGTCCGACGTTTTTTTCTCCAAGGCGAAAAGTGAAAAACATGCCACAAAACACGCGTTAAGTACTAGACCAGCGTTTAAAATAGACAGAGATCCTGACAACATAGAAGGAAAAACGTTCTTCCAAAGTAATCTAATTTTGTTTGATAAAGACCGCAAGAACTTGAATTAAAGGCGTGGTCAAATTTGTAGCGCGATTTTATTGTCGTAGTAATCTAGATTTTCACCGAGGCTACAGGTCGTTCAGGTACAAGGTCGTACTGCGACATCTGTAGTTCGTACGACACATACACGACCGCCTCAAGAATATCCAGAAGCTGTCGTAAACCTGTCGTGTTAAGAACATTTATGTAACTGGGCTTATTTTAGAGAAGAAGAAGATGTAGAGGATCCGGAACTTACCGTGATTTCCAGGGATGCCGGACGGTCCGGGTGCACCGGGTGGGCCAGGCGGTCCTGCCGGGCCCGTGTCGCCCCTCTGCCCGCAGCCGCAGGGCGAGCATCTCCCGCTGAACCTGTCCTGCTCGTGCTCCAACTCCTCCCACACGCCGTGGTTCGCGTGCTCGGGTTCTATCACGTTGTTCGCCGGCTCGTCGGCCTGCGGGTAGTTCTTCAGCGTCAGGGCGTCCGCCGCTGACTCCACGTCGCCCACGTACTTGGCCGGTTCTCCCGGGTTTTCGTCCTGGTTTGCGGCGACGGCGTGTTCTTCTCTCTTCACAAGCCGCACGGAAAAGGCAGACCCGACCAACAACAAAATCCCCACGCAAATTGAGGTTATTCTCACCATTTTTGCCATTGCAAGTTCACTTAGTAGTTCTCCTTGGTAGTTCACAGCGGATCCGGTCGCAAAGCTGTCAAAAGTTGAACTGCGCACAACACAAGTCTTGCCAGACTTCGGTTTTCTCAAAACCCACCGTTGATGTGTTTTTGCAGGAAACGGGCAGAAATGCCGTCAAAGGCCCGACAAATATCCAGTGGAGGCAGAAATGCGACAAACGTCTGGTGTCTGGACATTAAATTTCCCGTTTTTCCTTTCTTGATAGTAGATGCAAGGCGTGGTTCCTCTCTGGGGGGACCCAGCTACTTTTGGTAACCCTGGTCCTCAGGGACTAACCACGATACCCTCTGTACGGAGCAGGTGTACGGACGACTTTTACACAGTTCTACACCCCAGGAAGTTTGTACAATGAACCACCCCCTCACATTTGTTCTCATAAGGAAATTAACGAAGTCTGCATGATGGATGTGGACTTCTAGGAAATTAAAGGGGACACAGGACCCGGGATTTCTTCCTCTGACACTGACATGTGAGGCACGTGCGGACGGACCCCCGCAGCTAACCTACCAGCTGCACGGTATAACATAGCCAAGCAGATGCATTAAATAAGGACCTACCTCCAAGCTTTGTTTGTTTGGTTGTTTGAATCGTTCTTTATTCACGAGAAGCTCAAGTTGGCCTGCAGGGTTCTTTTCGTGGAGGTCAGGAGGGAATAGGTAAGGGTTAAATAGAATATCAAAATGTAAAAGTGTACACATACATCATTTAGGGTCCATTTGGTGTAAGATACTAGTAGTACAAACATGTATGGCTCCAAGTAGATGTGAAGATCCAGCATAGTGTTTTACCGCCTGTTTTTGCAACATGTAAGAAACAACTAGAAAGATGCACAAAAAATTGTAGAAACAGATACTGAGCCAGAATTTTACATTCTGCTTAGAACTACTAGATAATATACTTTACAGTACATGTACTCATATACTGGTCTCTTTTTATTTGCCTCCTTAATTTTGGCAAATTTCTACCTGTACTAACAGAACTTCAGAAAGAGAGTGCCTCCAATATATGAGAGCACATATAAGAGCTAGAGATTTCTGTGTCCTTGAATTGATTGACAGGGTTTGATTTGACAGGTGGGATTTCCCTTTCTTGGCCAATAAAGCCTCCACCCTGTGTTTTGGGTAACCCTAGAGTGGTCAGATTTGTGGCGGGAAGGTTGGCTTTGATGGTGACCGTATGTTTTCCTGAACTTGTCACGCACTTTTAATGCCCACCAAGTTAGTCTGACTTTCCCAAGGGTACAAAATTTGCCAAGGCACAATAGGTTCAATAGTGAGGAAACTACTTTGAAACAAAGCACTGATACGGAAGACAGGCTACTTTTGAAATAAAACTGTTACTTTCAAACCTTGTAATCATTAACTGTCACAGTACATGTACCTTTTCATTCCTATACTTGTGCTATGACCTTGCTACAACACTGACCTTTTGGCCATGACCTTCAGAGGTGAAACTATTCAATGTATGGGAGGATGGAAGTATCTAGTATATTCCTAAGATGTCTTTCATAGTAGGTTTGCTTCAGTATAACTTCATTGTATTCAACAAGTAGACAGACAGCACATGTTTTAAGTTTTAACACTTTAATTAAAAAAACAAAATTAATACAACACTACCTTATATTTTGCACATGATTTTGTGACCACATACGCAAAGGCTTGTGGAAGCTGAAACATATTAAGAATAACTACAACATTTCTCAAGGGAAAATCTCAAGGGAAAATCTTAGTAATTTCAAATGACAACAATTTTCTACAACATCTCACACATTATCATTAAAAGCTAGTCAACAATCAATCATTTCAAATTTGGAAATTAGAAGTTCAGAATTATTTACAAACGTCCAAATTGCTCCATGGTTCTCAGTGTCTACATAATATATGGTAAACTGGTAGTGGTGTGTATCATACCAGCTACACAGATACAAATGTTATAAACATATGAATAAATACTTATGGAAGTTGTTTCAAATGGCATGCACATCTAGCTTAAGCTACCACCTGGCCAATGTGGCCATTTTTGGTGGTCTCTAAGACTTTTTTCCCCATTGACAGAAGCATTAAGAATCCCATCTATAGCGACCACCTGTATCAGATTTTATCAGTCCCCTGGGTGGTCTTGGGTACTTTGAACTATGTGGCTTATACATGTATGAATAGTCTCTCATAAAGTTAAAAATGGACATTGTACTTGAATAAAACTTTTTCTAAATGGAGATCTAAAGGAGCTAGCCCATACACACATACTAATTTAAAACTAAATGATCCCTGGAAAAAACATGGCAAACATTTTTGTTCTGTGATAGGCACATTTAGTTACAGTCGTAATCAAAAATTATTTTCCAACTGGTGACAGTCATGACTTTAGAGCTTTCATAATTGTTCTACAAGGTCTAAGTACAACATGTGATCTTTGACATAGGCCAATGAGAAAGTGTTTAACAAGGGCTATGGGTTTGGTCAGCTCACTTGTATTTCTCTACAAAATACTACTAGTAAATGCCTCATGATAAATACAACATAGATTCTAAACTCTTAGAAGAACATCTTGAAGTTACATGCCCGTAGCTAGGATTTTGAATGGGGGGGGGTTCTTCCCACTGCTAGAGGGGACCTCGAGCGCCATAGGCGCGAGGCGAGCG